TTCGGGGTTATCGGTATTGTACCGGGACCACCGGAGGGGTCCCGGGGGCCCACCGGGTGGGGCCACCCATCCCCGGGGGCCACATGGGCTGTAGGGGGTGCGCCTTGGCCTGCTTGGGCCAAGGGCACCAGCCCCACATAGGCCCATGCGCCTAGGGTTAAGAGGGGAAAGAGTCCTAGGGGGTTAAGGCACCTCCTAGGTGCCTTGGGGGGGAGGGAAACCCCCCTAGGCTGCCGCACCCCCTAGGAGATTGGATCTCCTAGGGCCGGCCACCCCCCCTTGACACCCCTATATATAGTGGGGGATAGGAGGGACCTCATACCTTGAGTCCTTGGCCTTAGGTTGCCTCCTTCTCCCTCCCCAACACCTCCTCCAACTTCATAGTGCTTAGCGAAGCTCTGCCGGAGTACTGCAGCTCCATCAACACCACGCCGTCGTGCTGCTGCTGGTGCCATCTCCCTCAACCTCTCCTCCCTCCCTTGCTGGATCAAGAAGGAGGAGACGTGGCTGTTCCGTACGTGTGTTGAACGCGGAGGTGCCGTCCGTTCGGTGCTAGGATCTCCGGTGATTTGGATCACGTCGTGTTCGACTACATCATCCCCGTTCTTTGAACGCTTCCGCTCGCGATCTACAAAGGTATGTAGATGCATCCAATGACTCGTTGCTAGATGAACTCCTAGATGATCTTGGTGAAACGAGTAGGAAAATTTTTGTTTTCTGCAACGTTCCCCAACAGGAGGAGCTCGACATGGCTAGATGCGGTGAAGAGAAAGGGCTCTGTATACCATGTGAAGACTAGGTTGAGCGTATGCGTTGAGCAGGGACGCGCTGCGTGTTAATATAGGGCACAAGGCCGATTGGTTACAGGAGATATACATGTGGCTAGGTTTGGATTGATCTCCAAGAAAGCAATCATAACAACCTAACAACTCACGCCACCACTCCTATACCGCTAGAAAGCAATCATAACATCCTAACAACTCACGCCACCACTCCTATACGGCTAACTATACGGTTTATACAATATCGTAGAATACATTGTTTAACAGGCAACCCCAAGTACCTTTCCGTAAATCCTGCAACTTCAATTTGTAAGGCTGCTCGAACAACTTTCTGGTCTGCCCAAGGGCAAGATTCCTCAAACAAAATGGAGCACTTGCTTGGGTTTATCAAATTGTCCAGTGGCTTCGGCATAAGTATTAAGGATACCTCTAACTCGGAGACCCTGCGTTTGATTTTCCTAGGAAAAAAATAGGAGGGTGTCATCTGCAAAAAACAAGTGAGGAATTTCCAATGCTCTTCAACGCGCGCGCCTTCGCCGGTGAAAAATTATTCAAAGATGTCTCTTTGTTGTTAAATGCAGAAAGGCCATAAATGAAAAAGCAGAAGCAAACATAGGGAAAGTGGATCACCTTGTCGAAGCCCATGTGCGACGGAGCAAATGAATTCAAGGTTGTTCCATTATATTTTATACATGGAGCATCTCACAATGATGAGACATGTCATGATCCAGTCAATCCGAGTGAAGCCAGTCTTTTGCATCATCTGCTTAAGGTAACCTCTATCCATCCGATCATAATCCTTTGATAGGATCAAGCTTATAGGTACCAAAAACTTTTCTCGATACAATGAATGCACTCACAAGCAACATAAGCTTTATCAGTGACCATCCTGTCTGGATGAGCACAAGGGACTGCGTAATGTGTAAATCGAGGTGTGAGTATGACCATTCGAGAGTCATACGGATTCCTACTAGAAGGCTACAATCATTCATTGGGTGAGTGCGAGGGACGGAACGATGTGTAAATCCACACGTTTATATTGTATACGTATTTAGCACACATGCAGTTGCAGATCCAACCACCTGTGTTGTCCTCCTCCTACCTACGTACGTAGTATGAGCTGCAAAGCGTTATTCATTGACTCAATTATTGAAACCAAACAGAGTCTGGTGGCTGTTCCATCTTCTGTCCTTGCAGCTCGCACGCTAGGGA